CTATTATATTACAAGGATACAATTTCACAAGTTTTATTTAATCCATCAAGATCTAGTTTACACATGGTCCATGACCTCTTGTTGAAAGAAGAAAACAAACAAGAATCTGAAATACTATGTCACAAATACTATCCAGCTGTTTCATGTTGACATGAGAAAAAAAAATAACATCAGAAAATTTCTCCATGTATATAAGGTTAAACTTAGGAGTTTTCAATGGAATTTGTACATACCTTTTGAATTTAGAAAATTCAGTAACTCCACTTTATCCCAATTGTTTTGTTATAATCATAGAATACAACAATATATCATCATATCCAAATGTCTATATTTTAAAAAATAAATGCAGTTATATTAGTAGTCTATTTTTCAAATAGGTTTAATATAAAAGACTGATTTGGTTGACATTTGGAAACGAAATAATGGAAGTAACAGGATATGAATCAATAACACATAGTAATTAGGAAGTAAAATAGACTCAGCATTCTGGCATCCCTAAGAGATAAATTATTCTGACAATAAATGTCCTATTACATCTCCCTCAAGTTTGTGCTCCAATGACTGTGTTTGCTACTTTATCCCTTGAACATAGCTGTTAAAATAGAAATTCATAATCACAACCATTTTGCAGCATTATAAAAAATACCAAGTAAACTATAACCAACTTTTTTTCTATTCCAGAAATTGAATATTTCATGTTGAGAGGAGACTGCTGTCCTCTCTCTGTTGATATTTCTGAGTAATGTTTAGCTCTCTCCTTCTCTCTCCTAAACACACACCCACACAGAGGCACACAAACACACACCGTAGAAACATTTGTGAGTACACTGACCTACCACAAGGTTATATTACTTTATTTTAAACCTTCAGATTTGGGGTCAATGAAAAGTTACACCCCCTCAAGAAAAACTGGGAGAAGTTCTGTCTCATGGTTGCTACTGTGTCAGTATAAAGCTAGCCTCACAGGTGCAGACATCCTGGGAAAATAGTCAAATGTCTTTTAAGAGGCCAAGTGTGGAGAAACACAAATACTTTTGAATGCTCTAAAGGCTCAGGGTTAACTACTCCCCCAAGCAATTCACCGTTTCCGTGTTAATTCAGTTTGAAGAAACATATAATTAGAATCTCTAATACCTGCATTTTTCTTTTCTTTATGAGAAAAACATGTGGTGGTGCACAGAACAATGAACACACTGGGAAGGGAACCTTGGTGGGTGACTTTACATTCTCTGCTGAAAGGACACAACTACTACATTTCCAATCAGAAACAAAGGAAAATAACACTTTATTCGTTTATTGGAAGTTAGCACCTCTCTTTCAAACTAAAATAGGTGCTTTCATGTAGCATAAGTAATTTTGTTCTTTACAAGTATTGAACTAAGTAGCC